CTTGCCCTGTCCGACGTCTCCCTTCACCCACTTTTCTGTTGTCTGTCCCCCAGGGAGGAGGTCACATATAGTTTCTTGTAATCGGTTCCCTCTTTCCAACCCATTCTCCCTCTACCCTCCCAGTATCACCACTCACACCACTGGTCCTGTAGGGCTCATCCGCCCTGGATTCCCTGTATTAAACAAGATTTTATATACCCAAGTAATCTTATAACTTAAACATTTTGTGAAGTCAAATATCTTAATATGGCTGTTCAAGCCCTGTTTCTGTAAACCCCACCTAATGACTGAGTGGGACCAGGAAAACAGGGTATGTGAAATACTAAGAGGAGATTGGTTGACCAAAGAGAGCCATCTCAAAAGCAAAAACAGAATTCCTGGGACCACTGAGGATGAAGAGGCACCAGCAGAGCATGCGGAAATCCCTGTCTAAAGTGATAGAGACAGCAGAAGCTATGCCATACCAGGACCAGAGGCAAATAACCACGTTACTGAGAAGCTGAGGACTGACTGGGTGAGGTGAGTGAGGTGTTGCTGTGGGCTAAAACGTATCCTTAATGTTTTATGATACTTACTGGCTTGTGGTAATCTTTTACCGTTCCTAATAAACCTCCTTAATCAGTATTACCTAAGTTGCCTGGCCCTTGCCAAGAGACGGATTAATACATCCAGCAGAATAAAGTGTCATAGCAGGAATGGTTGGTATAGTAGGGTGTAAAAACTGAAGGACCTCTGCCTTGGGGCAGGCTGGCCTTAAGCTGATGTAGAGAATGGATTTTCTTTCTTCCTTGTGTAGCCACAGGAAGTGAGACAGGGTCCCCAAGCCAAGCCATTTTTGCAAGTTCCCACTTAAATTAAAAGTTAGTGATCTCACAATAGATATTTCACCACTATTATGATGGTTATAATCAGAAAATTGGGGGGTGGAGAACCTTACACAAACATCTAAACATAAACAGTATATACAGAAACTGCTTCATTACTGGTGGGTTTATAAAATGCTCAGCAGTTCCATTTCTAGGTATATATTTCAAAGGTCCAGAAGCATGGACACATTCTTGCACACCAATGTTCACTGCAGCAATATTCACAAGTCAAAAGGTGGGGAAAATCCAAATGTCCACCAAGAGATGACTAAATAAACAAAGTATTATACAATGGAGTATAATTCAGCCATAAAGAGAAGTGAACTTAAAATGCAGGCTTCAACATGGACAAACCTGGAAAACACTACACTGATCGAAATAACTCATTATAAAAATACAAATAATTATGTTCCCATTTGGGATACTTACAAGACAAATACATAGTGACCTAAGTTTGTTTAGTGGTTGCGAAGGTGGAAGGGAAAAGGAGCCCTGGAGATCTAGTGGCTAGGCACTGGGCCTACTAACTGAAAGGTCCCAGTTCAAAACCACCAAATGGGGCTTTCTACTCCCATAACAGTCTCCAAAACTCACAGGGGAATTCTACCCTGTCCTATTCAATTAATATGAGTCGCCACTGACTAAATGGTAGCGAGTTTGGCGGGTAGGAGTTACTGCCTAATAGGAACCGAGTTTCTGATAAGGGTATAAAACATTGGAAATGGAAAACAATGTCACTGAATTCTACACATAAAACTGATTCAAAAGGTATGCTTAGCTATGTATATTTTACCACTGCTTTTAAAAAACGCTCATTAGAAGTAGAACAAGTTAGTCTCTACAATTCCTAAAAACCAATACTATCCGCAAACAAACCAAGTGATTCCTAAAGTAATAATAAAACTTTAGTGTCTGTGATGATTCATCAATAGAAAATGAGATTTAGGCCTTAAAGTCTTCAAACTAGCATAAAGAAGGGTGTGACTTTACATTATCTTTATTAATCTCTCTTAATTTTAAAAGTGGAAATGAAACCCTAGGATTTAGTAACTTGCCCTAAGTCACAAGGCTACGTAAATGCAGAGCTTGAACTATTTCTGACCCTGGTCCCTTGCATTCAAGGCAACATGTTGCCTTTCAACTAGAAGAGAAAATACAAAAAATTAACTATCTAGGGCAGGGGTTGGCAAACTTCACCTCAAGAGCCATATGCAGCTCGTGTTATGTAAATGTGCACCTGAAGTAAAATTGAAAAAATTTTAAGGCTCATATTCAGATAATGGTGATTTCATTTGTTTGAAAAATATATTTATAGCTCTCAAATAATTTTTAAATTGTGAGGGACAAGATTGGCTCTTGTGTCTCAAAAGTTTGCCAACCCCTGATGTAAGGAAGGCCAACTTCAGGGGATAGAGGAGGTTAGAGTACATTTCACCAATCAAAATGACTCAGTCTACTTTCACATACATATTAACTTACCTTCCAGGGGGCCCATAGTCACCCCTATCATATGGTGGAGGTCGGCCATATGGGTCTGTAGGTGGTGGACCCCGGCTATCTGATGTAGGCATACCGCTGTTAGTTGGCGGAGGAAAGAAAGCTGGGTTCACATGTGGAGCGGGTGGAGGGGCACCTGGAGGTGGTCCAGGCAGATGCGGAGGAGGAGCAAGTGTAAGGGGTGGTCCAAGAGGGCCAGGTGGGCGAGGTGGAAAGGGGCCTGGAGGTGGTGGTGGTCCCTGTTGTGGAGGTGGTGGGCCAGGAGGGGGGCCGTAGCCTGGAACTGGAGGTGGAGGACCAGGAGGAAGCGGACCCAATGGAGGCTGCCCAAAAGGTTGTCCAGGAAAAAGAACTGGTGGTGGTGGGCGATCTCCTCGATTAGGAGGCCCAGCTAGTGGAGGAGGCAGAACCTGACCAGGAGGTGGGGGACCTGGTGGACCAGGTGGGCCTGGAGGACCTAATGGTGGACGTGGTGGAGTCTGTCCAGCTATAGAATAAAGGAGAAAGAAAAAGAAAAGAAAACTTCAATAAGATATTTTAACCATTATGCAAGATTATTTTCTTAAAGCATAACCCATAGACCAAGATTCTTTCTCTTTAAATGAAGCCCATATGATAAATGCTACACTATCAACTACTCAGATGAAGTATATCCTTACAAATTTAACGAGCTCAATTTATCCTTAATAAATTATAATAAGTTTAATTAAGAAAATTACAATGTTTAGTTATTTTCCATCTTTCAGTGTATATACACTTCTTACAGTGAAATCACCCACCTTATATTCTACTCTGATGCCAAGCTAGAAAGTGAAATAAGGAAAATTGGTCTTGAAAGGATTTTTTAAGAGGTAAGAAAATAAGACGGATGTAAATATTCTATATATAAGTCAAGCAAGTTTGGAGAAAAATAAAGACCTTTTAGGCCAAAAATGGGTATTTCCTCTATGCTGTGCCCCATATGCCATGGAATCCTAGTTTCCAGGAACAAAGGCCGAGTTCCTTTAACAAGATGCTTGATCAAATTTCCTGGATTCCAAAAATAGCATAACAAGGAGAGTAAGTCACATTAATAATGCATTGCTTGAAAAAGAGAGAAAAGGAAAAGAGGCATTAGGTAGACATGTTTTATCCATGATAATTTAAGTAAAATTTTACCTGGAAAAGGTGGGGGTGGCCCGCCTGGTCCTGCTGGCCCAGGAAATCTGTCCCCACCGGGAACAGCCCCTGGAAAGCGGCCCCGTCCTCTACCACCTTGTGGAAATGCTGCACGTGAACTGCCTCCTGGAGGACCAGCTTTACCTTCCCCAGACATTTGTCCTGATTGTGTAGCTGCAAATATCCAAATACTCATAAATAGCACTTATTAAAATAGTTCTGTGAAATGTAACCACTGTTATTAGGAACAATTCTATTTCAAACTTCAATTGACTACTACACATTAATTTGCAGGTGCCTTGGGCCTGTGCAAACTACATAAGATAAGAGTCATTAGGAAAATAGTCACATCAATTTTAAGTTCCTCTGAAGCTTCAAAATCCAGGTTTAGATGTGTACCCAATAAGTAAATAGGGGTTACTTTCAAAATACCAGTACTTTGCAGCAGCCAAGACCGAAATTCTTCAACAGAAATCTTAATTTCAGTAGCATAGATCATTTAAATTTTGTAACATATCTTCAGTTAAGTCTTAAGTGCTAAAACATTAAAAGAAAAACAACTTCTTGAATTGCTGTTAATTACATGATCATTCATCTTATCTCTTTAAATGACAACATTCCTAAGTACATCAATAGCAGGCCTTTTCTATATTTACTTTACCAAGTGGTGAAATCTTGGTGCCAGGCAGGAAAATAAACAAACCAACCAACCAATGTTTTCTAGTTATGAGTGGTCTCTCCCCAACTGTTAACAAATCTGCAAAATTCTCTTTAAATATAAGGATTAGAATGTAGTTTCTTCCTTGCTCTAAGATGGAAATAACGGGCTGAGAATGGAACTACGCAAGAACTTGCATGGTGTTAGGTCAGTGACATGGGCTCATAGTCATAAATCCTAATTAAACCAAATCAAAGCACTGACTTTCTAAGAGATCACTTCCCTAGCACAACACCTGGCAACAATAGTTAATATTTACATTCCTTAATAAAAGCGTCTGATGGATAGCTTACTTTTCCTGGACTGCATTTCAAACTGACTCAGGAACTGTTTATTGCATGGCGTTACAACAGGATTCTGACCATGCAGTTCTCTTTTAGGCAACAGATCCATTAACTTTTTTGAGGATGCTTCAGATCCAACACCAACAAGAGCAAACCTAACAGAAAATGAGGAGGGATTAATGATGCTACTATTATAAAGGAAATAGCCTTCATGCCCTCTAAACATAGCAAAAGTTTAAAATGCTTCTTAACATTGTACAAGTTCACACTTAACTTCAGCAGTCCTATCTCATTTCCTACCTTCCCTAAGCCTTACAGAAACACTGGTCTACTTTTTGTCTCGATGGATTTGATTTGCCTGTTGGGATAGTTCAGATAAATAGTGCCTGACTTCTTTCACTTAGCACAATGTTCTTCAAGGTCCATCCACGTTATTCATGAGTCAGCACTTAGTTTTTCTTAGTTGTCAAATATCATATTGTGTCATTATGAGACATTTTATTTATGCAAGCATCTTGGTTGTGGTTGTTGGATCTTTGGGTTGCTTCCACTTTTTAGCATGAATAATACTGCTATGAACATTGATGAAAAAGTTTGTTTGCTTTCTATTTCCTTGGGTATAAACTTATGAGTATCATGGGGTCATAAGGTAACTGTGTTTAAACTTTCAAAGAATTGCAAATTTGCCCTCTAAAGTGGCTGCACCATTTTACATCTCCACCAGCAATTTACAAGTTTCCATTTCCTCATTGCCAAAGCTTATTATTTTCTGTCTTTTTTATTATATCTATCCTAGTTGGTATGGAGGGGTAACTCACTATGGTTTTGATATGCATTTTCCTAATGGATGCTGAGTATTTTTCATTGAACTATTGGCCATTTATCTATCTTCTTTTGAGAACAGTCTATTCAGATCCTTCACCTATTTTTTGAACTATGTTTCTTATTGAGATGTAAGAACTGTTATTTATGTATACTAAATACAAGTCCCTTAACAGAGATTGGATTTACAAAGCTTTCCTTCTTTTCTGTCATTCACTTACTGTGACCAAAAGTGAAAAATTCTGAACATGTCCAATTTACAAATTTTGGGGTTTTGTACTTTGTATGCATATGCTTTCTTATTACAAGAGTGGATTTTTTTTAATTACTGTGACTTAAGTTAGACTAGAAATATATCCAAATAACAGACGTTTACTTTGTGATAGCCAAGCTAAAAATGTTACATAAAGTGCCTGTATCCCTTAGCTTTCTGAAGCATAATGAATACAACTCGTGATCCTGTGCTATAATTAATGATGTTCTAGGGATTAATAAAGGTTCCCTCATGGTGCCACAGGATAAACCTTGAACTGCTAACCACAAGGTTGGCAGTTCAAGCCCATCAGTCACCTTGGAAGATAAAGACGCGGCTACTTGCTCCTATAAAAACTTCAACTATGAGTCAGAATCAACTCAATGGAAGTCAAAATCAACTCAAGCCTTTACTCCACACTTTAAAAATCCCCAGAATGTTATGCTTGTTGAGATACAAGGAAGATCATTCTCCAGTTCCTATATTATAATATGTACACCTAAAATGACTTTTTACCATGGGGGTAAAAGCCTGGTGATGTTTTTGTAGAAGATCATAGCCAAGTTCTACCTTGTACCACCTGGGCTAACCAGGGGTCCAGCACGTGTATAGTTAGCATAAACTTTTAAAGAAAGGTAAAATATAGCTAACTAAAAATAGCGAAATATTTAACTATAAATATAGCTAAACAAATATGCAAAAGCAGCAAATAAAACCATATCCAAGGTAAGTTGATTATGACTCATAGGGTTTCCAAGACTGACTGTCTTATCTTTTTCCAGCAAATTATCTTTTGGGTAGCGGTCAAGCAATTCAATTACTGTGCCATCAGAATTCTCATCTATTTATTTACAATGGGAAAAAATAATTTTGAAAATCAAAACAAATCTCTTACCCTTTTGACTGGCCATTTGCCCGATTTTCAAAAAATTTTATCTCTAAAATATCATTTACTCCCAAAGAATGAACTGCTTCAGTTAAGTCTTCATCTGTTGTCCACTGCAAGACATTTATCTCTCATTAACCATCAAAAACATTAGTTTGGTTTTTTAAAAATGGGTGAACTCAAGATAAATAAGAAAATGATGCCCAGTGAAAATCAAAGGAAAGTTATTGCCTGTCAGTCTCCAAACTCCAAATTGCACAAAAGAATCTCAAGAACATAATAACTTCATTCCCTGATAAGAACTTAGAAGATACACACCTCAAAGATAGATATTTACTCTTAAGATTTCTTGGGGAAGCTACTACCAACTTTAAACTACCATGATTTTAAACTGCTAATAAAACCAATCTCATTTATTCCTTTTCTCTTTAAAAGAAGACTTTGCATCTTACTTTGATGCAATGGAACAGTTAGAGCATTGCCCAAGGTCACAAACTAAAAGGGGGAGTAGCTAAGATTCAAGAGCCAGTATTCTCTACCTGTACTGTCACTCCGCTAAGTAAGAATGTTTAAACTAGGTGGTAGGCATCAATCACAAGTAGTTTTAAAAACATTTAAACAAGCTATCTTATAATTAAAAGATACTAAGGATAAATTTATTTTGCCTTTAAACATAAAATTTCCTAACTTTCAAAAAGGTCCTACATGAATAAATGCATTGAATTAATAAATGTATATAAGAAAAGCATATAATAAAGGCACTAACTATTCCTGTCTAAAAAAAAAAATTTCCTAACTTTCAATTATATGTAATAAACGTCTCCAATTAGTTAATAGACTTTCTAGGACTGCTTTTTAACAAATATTTAAGATAGAAAGCAACTAAAAAATATAAAGACAATGAATAGTTCATTAAGTCCCCCACCAATAATCATATGTCTAGTCTCATGGACAAATAAGTAGTACAATGTATACGTAGCAGTGTTTCCAAAACTCAGGTTTTAAGGGCAAAAATAAAACTCAACAAATTCATAATATAAATTGGAAAACACAAATTGTCTTTAAATCATGTGTTCTTTTCTCTTGTACACTTTTGAAAACTGGTTTGAGCACTAAGTTATCATTTTTCAAAGTCAAATTGGATAGGCAGAGTAAGGTAGGGAGTAGAAAGGTAAAATAGACAATTTGGAGGTAAAATGATTACGCTTGACCCATCTGCAGTAGAACTGTATTAAATGATACCTTAATTTGAAAGACCAAAGTTCAAAACTAAGAAAAATAGAATTAAAAAGTACTTATAGTTCAATTTTTACAGCATAAACAAGGATATACAAAAGCACACTGAATGACTTCAATTTTATATTTTAAAAGAGGGGAAAACAAAAAAACAGCTGACGCAGTACAGAATCAATCACCAATCATTTAATTAATACGTTATCTCTACTTACCCAGGTAAGATTGCCAATATATAAGGCAATTCTCTTTCCAGTATATGTATAGACAACATTTGGTGCTGTTCCTTTCCCAACATCATCGCCAACAGTTGGTGGAAGAGTATCCATGTAATCCCTGTCTTCTGGGGCATCTCCATTATTTGCAGATGGAGAGATGACATCATCATACAAATCTATCTGATCATGCCCACCATATTCAGCTTCCTGAGGTACAGAAATAATGCTCTATATTATACAATTGTCAGAACACTACTAAATAGACGCGAACATGGGTCCATTTAACTCCTGTGTTTTAAAAATTTGACAGAAGATGGGAAAAGGAAGGCCCAAATATTTCAGGACAAATCTCTTTATGTAATTGGTGTATTCATAAATGATGCCTGTAAAGTAAATTTCTGCATGATGAATCCTACTTTCCCACTGATTTTTAGTAAAATAATAAACAGTGTTTCTGGGGGAAGGGGTGATTAAGATGGAGACAAAACAAAGCAACAAACCTTCCTTGGGAAGTAAAATACTGCTTTAAGTAAAATTAACAATATTTATTGGTTGGGATTTCTAAAAGTACATTTGACATTAATAAAACATCACAAACAAAAAACAGACCCATTCATTGTCTTTAATGCGACCATGGAAAAATACAGCCAATATTTATTAGACAAAAGAAAAATTACACCTAATATTTACTATGGTATTCAAATTTGCTTCTCAACTCTAAAAACTAAGTTTTAGAAAGAAAGAAGGGGAATAACCTCTATGACTTAAGCCAATAAGAACCAAACATATGCTGGGTAAACAAATAATTCAAAATGTCAGCAAATGAGTAAGAGAACGAAATGTACATAAAACCGCAAATTATCACTGCAAGTTTTATTATTCAGTCTGCAAAGTTAATGCTTAAATTAGTAAAAGTAACAAATAAGGCTATAATAAAGTTATGTCACCGAGTATCACCAGAACAATTAACATAATGCTAGTAAATTGTCCTTTACAATCCTACACAAAAAGCAATCAAGACCTGGAAAAGGGAAAAGAGATGTGAACAAGAGAAAAATGGAAGCGCTCAATTTGTAAATAATAAAAAAGAAAAATGAAATGTAGGTGTTCGCTGAACATACAGTGTTTAAATTGCCTTTGGTACCATATGGGACCACAGGCTTGACTAATCATGCAGTATAGGAAAACTTCACTTCTACCCTTTTTCCCTTCCCACCCACTGGCCTTTCTACCACTCCTACATGATTCAGTGTTTTAGCAAGTACTTGGTTTAGCTCTGATGGAGAACACTTGAGATAGGTAGTAAAGGAAAAAAGGAAACAGTTTATAGAACAGTAATGGAAGAGTGCAGACAAAACTCATATCCTCTCCCATTAATATCGTTTACTAAGGATGCTATACCGTGACACATATAAGGAAGAACTAATAGTTCTGGGGAATAACTATTACATGGACAGAGAATGACCCTAAAAAGGCATTTATAACTACAAACAGATCCAACAAGATACTGTTTTATAGGCCTTAAGAGAACGTGATTTGATTTGTTATTCAGAAGGGAACCACAGTAAGACTTTTAAGAAGAAAAACAAAAAAGTTGGATAGGTTCACACCAACTATACACATAGCCAAAGAATTTTTTAATAAACTCATCTTTAAGTAGTTATCTGCACAACTGAGTTATCCAATTTGCGAGTTATATAACAGACTCTTAATATACCTATTATGAGGTAGAATGCATTTATAAAATGTATTTAATAAGGGGCTCACAACCTCAAGGTAAATGAGAATGATGCCATCTGTAGCTATTGGCAGGAACTAAGTAAGACCACAAGTCACTGAAAAATGCCATAATTGTTTGTACAGCAATACTAAAACAGAATTTTAAAAACTGAGACAAAATAGCATGCTGAAATTGCAGTGACAATGGAAATTAGGAAAAAGGGAGGGTGAGCTTTATTATGAAGTTTCAGTATAGCTGAAGCTTCAGGTGATGTAGGTTGCAGCACAGTGATTCCATACAGCTAAGATATTAAAAAGCTTCCCACAAGGGATAATGGACCCTCTTTAACTCTCTTGCAATCCGGCTCTGTACATCAAGTAGAGTTACTATTATTATTCAAAGGAGTTGTGTTGCCATCCTCCTCAGCAGAGACTATAATCACAAATGTGGTCTGAGGGAGAGTAAAAAAGAATGCAAGGGTTATTAACAGGACTTAAATGAAGGTATTTAAATTTATGCTTTCATGTACAAAAAAATAGGTTAACACATTGGATTTTCCATTAGTTGTAAATCTCTGAAATTATTTACAGCAGACAATAATTTACAAACATAATCGCAGCTACACTAACCTGGTGCAATACAATCACTTACTATTTTTGTCCGTCCATGAATTCCTATGTTGACATCAACCAATTTTCCACATTGATATGATTCTACCAATATTAGGATCAGCCACTTTGTCTGGTAGTTGAATTGCATCCAATTGGTTGAAGTGTGATGCTAATTGAGACCATGGTCCTGAGGTTTATCTCCATGTGGACTAGTTAGCTTCACTCTGTTCCAAGGCCACAGCCTGTACTCCTAGCCCCAACGGTACACACATTTGGACTTGGTGAAAAAATATTAATGAATCTGGATACGTTTGCCACCATTACCAGAAATGCAACTCAACACAGGCTTTTGTAGTAGCAAAATTTCTAGTTTCAGCATATCACACCTAGTCTTCACATTAAGAAAAAAACACAGCAGCTCATCCAACTTTCTATTCCAACTTTAATACTGTGAGAAAACACCCTTAGTCACAATTAAGCAAAATGTGTATCACATATAATATATAGATGAAATAAACTCTGAAAGCCTATTAATCAAGCAAACAAAAAAGTTTCTATTTCGTCACACAGAAAAGGTCAAAGGTCAACGGCGCCAAGTTTGCATGCATAGGTATTTTCCACTATTACCTTTAGAAGATATTAATGACATTCAAAAACACAAAAATAACAACATTACCCCTCTAGTTAGTTATCAAATGCTGACCAGTCTTAACTATTTGCTTTTCTTAGTAACTAATCACCAAGACTTCTTTAATAATAGCTCCTAAAATTTGTTCATGAAACCATCAAATAATTTTGTGTTCCCTACTGTTTTAAATCAGCACATTCAAAAGGCAAAAGCATTGTTTCAAGATTATACAAAATACATAATCGTTGTCAAATCCAAGAGAAAGCACATAAAATGAGTAGTAAAATGACCAAAATTCTGTTTCTTCAAGGCAGTGTTTCTCAACTTTTCCATTATCTTTCCTTCTGCCCCCTATCCCAAATAATATTTCCAGACGTTTTCCTCTAAACACTCACCCATGAAATTTTAATCGCAGGTATGCTACATACCACTATTGGGGTAATAACCACAGAACAGTTGTCTTAAGTACAGCTCTTCTGCCATTCTCTCAAAAACACTGCTTTTGGTGGTCCTAAAACTCTAACTAGTACCTTTCCTGGATTATATGATGCCACCCTTAGTATATAGGCCAAGGGATACTTGTTTCAAAGGGCCTCTACTTTTAAAAATAATAAAAAGTGTTAAACGGCCATGTTCATTAAGGGAAATACAAGCAAGGGAGAAAGTCACAGGTTGCGCACACAGATTGCACTCTGTACCATGGAAGAGGAACACTAACAATGCAATATCAAATAGCATCTACTACTATTTTAGAAAAGATTTAGTTTCCTGGTTTTGTCCAATTATGTTCTGAGGAGACATTAATTTATAATCCCTACAGTAGCCAAAATAATTTGGTACCTTAAAATGTGTCAGATAAAGTGAAAATTGGGGCAATTCATAAGCAATTTAATTACCTATAACTAAAGCATGCTAATTCTCCTAAACATTTCTATCAATGTTTTGGAGCCAATTTCTGTTTTCCTCATTCTCTACCTATACCCTTACCTTAGGACAGTTTTCTATGAGACATGACTTTTGCAGAAACCAGCTTTCACTATTTGTTCAATTAAAAAAAAAAAAAAAAACGTATTTTCCTTCCATAACTGACTAAAACAGGGATCCTCAAACTATGGCCCGCGAGGCACATGCGGCCCGCAGAGGAAATTTATCTGGCCCACAGGGTGTTTTTGCCCCGTTTATTTTTTGACTTCAAAATAAGATATGTGCAGTGTGCATAGGAATTTGTTGAGTTTTTTAAACTATAGTCCAGCCCTCCAACGGGTCTGAGGGACAGTGAACTGGCCTCCTGTAAAGTTTGAGGAACCCTGGACTAAAATATTGGATAGTCACAAATAAGAACTATGACTCACGAAATAAAGGTAGACTGCCTTATTTGATTGTCTAGGCCCATGGTTTTAAATAAATGTTTTCTGGTCACTATCTTTACCCACACCTTTATTTAATTAAAGATGGTTGGTCAAATTACTAAAATGACAGTGCTTTCAGGGACTACAGACCAGAACTAAATTCAACAAGAAGAGCTTTTTACCCACCCACCGCTCGCCCACTCAAAATAAACAAAATACACACTACTTCAATATACAATGCAAGTTTTTCTGGAATTCACTAGGTCTTTTATTTTCAAGTCCCCAGCAAAAATTTTACAAAGATACACATGCTGTATCTACAGTTCAATAAGTTATAATTACCTGGATGCCTCTCATTCCTACTACAGTGCATGCTCAGGTAAGAGCTAATCCTTAGTCCTTTGTGTTGGCATATAGCACACTTGTGAACAGTTGAAGTTTTCCATCTTAGTTTCATTTGGGGAGGAAAGAATGTTTTTAAAGGTGCTATAATTACTAAATATTAGGCTAACCACTACACTGAGAACAAACCCCAGTTGAAACTTAACTGATATACCATTTTAACAGGCCAGACAGAAAGTGCTTTCTTCTCAACTTCCTACTCAAGTAATGTAGAGGAGGGCTGGAGGCACTTCAAATTCCCCCTCCACTAGGGCAACTGTTCTCAATCTCAATCACTTTGGTGGCATCCAAAGACCTTCAATTTGTAAACTAAAGGGCACCCATAAAGAACAGCCTAGTCCTTTATGCCTTCTCCCCTTCTCTAGCCATTTTTCCATTCTTAAATTCACCTGGTGAACAACGTGGCATTCTACTATAGTTTCACTGTCTTATTCTGACCCTTTTCACAAACCAATTAAAAGTTTCTCCTAAAACAACTGAAAGATTCAGTACTTGTTAAAGTAAGACAATAGTGTGCATTACCAAGATACGCTCCCCCTAAACTTCTTAAGCCTTATTTTTAATAGTAAGAAACAGGTAACATAGAACACAAATGCAATAAAAAAACACAGCTCACAATGAAGACCAAAAATTTCTTAAATGCTTACAGCCATCTGAGAGCCAACAAGGTGACTCTAATAACTTGTAAGCTAACTTTTTCAACTACAATAAGCCCTATAGTTTAATGAAGTAATTAGTAAAAGTAAGGTCATCAACATTTATATATGTTCAGTTTTTATGACAGTAACAATTGCATGTTTTTTCTTTCCTAATATTTAAACCAGGAGGCCCTAAGCCATTTTTGACAAGCAAGAGATAGGACTTCTGTGGTGTCCATGTTTTTAACAAAGAGGGTAGTACAAATTAAATCAGTAATCAGTTTGTGGTTGCTTCTAATTCTGATAAGTTACAGAAAAATACTTCAATGATCTCACTCCCTACCATCAAGTCTAATAGTAACAGCATTAAAAAAAAAGATGCCCATTGAAAATAAACATACTTTTGTGGACATTTGAAAAATGCAGGTCATTACAGCAAGCAGGTTACAGAAGCCAATGAAATGCAAAATGTAAAAGTCAAAGCCTCTACTTAATAAATTTGTAACCCCACCTGCCTCATTCATTTATTTAGAGGTATATTTTATCCATAAAATTATAGAATCACGTGTGAAATATAATGCTACAGTTACAAGTGAAAGCATAGGTCCTTTTAAAAAGAAACCTATAAAATAATCCCTCATCAAATTCACAAAATTTTCATCTTTTCTTACCTCCTGTTCAATCACCACTTACTGCACAGGGATAAGAAAGCACCACTCCATCCAGTAATGAGCTATGTCCCTCCCAAATTAATATGTTAAAGATTAACTGTATCTCATGAAGAGGGCGTAAGAAAACTTTGATGTCTAAAATTATGCAGAAACCTTCCTAAACTGTGGGCTGAAAGCTTAATACGAACTGTTCCTGTACTTGCAAGTATGGTCCTCTTTGGGATGGAATGTTATACTCCTTTAATAAAAAGCAAAAGAAATTTCCTAGAGTTCTTTGTCTACTGACCTTAATTTTAAACAGCATTCATTGTGGAGCGCTCAGGGAAAATTTCTAATTTTCAATTGACATACTAAGACATCACATACACCCAAAATGTAAGCAGAATAAGAAAATGTGACAAGGTGATGGCTATGAGTTACATTTATATATGTTCAGTTTTTATGACAGTAACGATTGCATGCTTTTTCTTTCCTAATATTTAAACCAGGAGGCAGGCACTAAGCCATTTTTTACAAGCAAGAGATAGGACTTCTGTGGTGTCCGTGTTTTTAAAAATCTTGAGCCCATAATCACACATAATAAGGTCCTTAAGGGGTGGGGGAAGGTTAGACACACATTAAGCTGCAGTTTTATTAAGCTTCTCATACGAACCTGGAAAATAGAAAAAAATTACGCTTTTAGGTGCTCTACATTTAGTTAGGCACAATTTAACTTTCTAAAAGGTATTACCACACAAAATAGAGCATAGATGTGAATGGCGGGCTTAGCGTTTAAACGTCACTACTGACTGACTAGATTTTTTGCACGATGCCCGCCATCGGGCATCATTGCTCTGCGGTTTATTCTTCCGAGGCAACCGTGGCCTGTGGGATACTAAAAAAAATGAAAAAATGAAAAAATAAAACCTTGCAGCCTCGCTTTCTCTAACCCCTCCGATGTAAAAGCAGCGTTCACGGAAGGCTTGTTTGAGCATTTTCCTTTCGGAATATAAAAAGACACCGTTGCGCGTCTTTCTCAAAATACAGCGTTAAGAAATTGGGGCGAAGGGCCTTCATTTTCAATCATTCCTCCACGTCTAACCGCTGAGGGAGCTTCCATCTTTGTGTTCCTTCCCGCCGCGGGCCCAGGCCGTCCTCGCAGGCATTTCTCACCACAAAGGCTAAGCGCACCCAGAAAACGGGCCTCGGAGGCGCCCGCTTTTCCACACGACCCGCGGGTCCCCAAGTCAAAGGACTTGTTGCAAACGTGCCCACAACGAACCCGCCTT